TCATGGAATAACACCGTTTTCATATTTTTTTCTAAAGTAACTAAGATTGGTAATTTATAAAAGTTTATTTACTTTAATAATTATCATTATACTTATTAATGAGAGTTAATGTCCTATCCTACCCGTTCGTCTAACGACCCTCCACCAGTCAAGGAAGCGGTGGGTGAGAGTGGACACCCATTAAACCACCATTTTATAGGGAGTAACCTTATACCCCACTTATAGACCGGCTTCGTGAATGAGGCCTAGTAACGGTAAGACTGACTTGTCTTATACATATATATAAGTATTAAACTTTAATATTATAATAGTATAAGGGTTGAATTTTAAACTTTTAAAATTATAGGGTTTGGAATTAAAGTTTCATTAATGAAACTTTTCAAGTTCCAAAACTTGAGGGCAAGTTTTGTAACTTGTCAAGACTTTTGAAATTCATAACTTATGGACTTTTGTGTTCCATGAATGAGACCTTTCCAATTCCAAACTTAAGGACAAATTATGAAACCTTTCAAGACTCTTTGAATTCTATAACTTACATTAGTTAATGGTTTCATAAATAAAGATCTTTCATATTCCATAACTTGAGGACAAGTTATGGAACTTTTCAAGAACACATATGGATCAAATTAACTAGTCCAATTATGATATGATGATCATTTACCAATTTGACCTAACTTGATTCATATTCAAGATAGTTTTAAATTTTACAAATAACTAGTATTTCACAAAAATCAAGTAGTTATCTTAGAATTTGACAAACATCATGTTATTGGATGGGGATTAACATTACCATATCATTAAAATCTAATTTTATGAACCAAAACAGTTTGTGGTAATGTTTTTAATCCAAAACAGGCCAAAAACTCGAAGATTCTGCCCACAGACAGTCCAACTCGTCGAGTGCACTTATGAATTCGACAATTTCATCATCATAAGGCACCTACTCGTCGAGTTCATATATGGACTCATCGAGTAGGCCCTGGCAGAATCTAGTTTTGCAGTTTTTCCAGCTTTGAAAATTACACAGTTGCATCAATACAATAGAAAACATCCTAGGCTCTGATACCACTGATGGGTTTTATGTACTCTAACATTCCTATGGTGCGCATACAACCCTAATGCTTTGGATCTAAGTTTTCTTTAATTATACATGCAACATTGTTTTTCCAAAGCACAAAGCCTAAACTAGCATGCAAGGTAACATTTAAATCATAAAACAGTTAGAAGAGTACCTTGTGTAGTAGCTTGCTTGTCTTTGACCTTTAGGAGCCTAGCACCTCAAGTGTGATGCCTCAAATGTCTTATAACAAACCAAGAACAAGAGAATGGACTTGAGAGAGAGGCTTGGGAGCTCAAAATCGGCTTGGAACTCTTAGTGTGCATGGGGTAACCGATTTTAGGTGTTAGGAGTTTCTTATATAGTCTAGGTTTACATCCATGCAAACCCTAACCCACCACGACCCTTCATATTTCATAGGCCCTTTGGGCTTAACCTTTATGGACTTGCATATAGGTTTAGTCCAACTCTAATCAACATGGGTCATGAGTCCAACTACAAGAATTACTGATTTACTTAATCAGTCCCCGCAACTTTAATTAGTTTCTTTTGATCACTAAATTAATACCAAATTAATTATTGATCAATACTAATTAAATAATGTGATTCCTCAATTAATATATTATACTTATAATATATTAATAAATCACAATAACCTCTTCTTCAAGTATCCATCCTATCAAATTGTTCCAGAGTGTTATAACCCAAATGGACCATGCTATTATCGGGTCAAGTACATACCAATTATAGTTATGGGCTTAGACGCCTAATCCAACAATACTATGTTTTATAACACCAAGTTACTGATGCATTTACATAATACCAATATACAACCGATTTGTAAATTACAACTTATGTATCTTTGTTTGAAGAATAGTAGATATTATTGTCTTAGAATTACTCGTGACTAGATCCATGAAGTAATCTCTTAGCATGGGTGTTGTGATAAGTCTCCGACTTAACTCTGACTCTTTGAAGGGTGAAAAGGGGTAAGCCTGAGAATCACAGCAAAGAAAAGATCGGCAGTCGTCGTCTGGGAGGTGATCCTGGAACGAGTTAGCGAGTTTCCTTGAGAGAAGGTATTATGACGAGAGTATAAGACAGGGATTTTAGAGTCGATCCCTTCTGTTGGGGGAAAAGGGACATTTTTATACCTGTGGTCAGGGGGACAGATCCCCGACAGTATCTTCTACTTTTTCAGGCATGGCAGGACGAGGCGGCCTTTGATTGGTAGATCGTGCCCCGCGGGTGGCTGTTTACTATTGGTGTAGAATAGCCAGTTGGAAGATCAACGAGCACTACACATGTGCCTCTGGGGAAACTGGTACTTCTTTGACTTATCTGTAACGGGAGTTTCTCTCCTAAAATGGGACCAATCCCGAGGCTAGATCACCGGTGCTAGAACGCGGGGTCTCGTGGACTATGGCCCACTCCTGACTCTTGTTCGAGTAATGGGTTTTTGGTAGGTCGTTCCTGAGTTGGCGGCTCCGTTATACTTTGACATTTCTTCGGGTGAGATACGTCAACAAGTTCCCTAGGCTAATGGATGTCAGCGTTTGCTAGGGCTAGCTAGGTCATTCTATCCTTAGGCCTGAACACGTATTCATCGATGATGATTTCTGCTGCCTGTTGACGTGACGGAATCGTCTGAGTAGGAGGTTTCATCATTGTAACTGTTCGGTTTTCCCAACTGCATTTAAAACCTTCCTTATCTGATCTTCTTTCCTTTTTCCTTTGTTTCTTCTTTCCTCCAATTTTCTTTCTTTTCGTTTCTTCCGCATTTCTGCTTCTTCTTTTTCGTTTCCCCATTGTTACCAGACCATGACATCTCCAAACATGGGTGACGCTCCATCTTCCGAAGAGTTTTCCTGGCTGCAGGAGCGATTTGGTTTCCTCCCCGATCATGGGGTCGATTTTCCATATAGGGGAGCCGTCATCTCCCGACCACCAGAGGGTAAGGTCGGAGTTACTATTCCCATATTAGAGGCAGGGCTCCAGTTGCCCACGTCCGACTTTTTTGATGAGATCATGCATCACTATAGTTTCACAGTCTACGACCTTACCCCCAACTTTGTTAACAAGATAGTTGGCTTTGAGATGGCATGTCGGGCTCTGGGTGTGCTTCCCCAACTGTGGGCTTTCAAGTACTTCTTCAATTCATCGACTTAATCTGGTATTCACACATTTTCTCAGCACGGAGGTGTTCATGCTTTCGTCATGAACCAGAAAGCACCAAAGAAGAATTGGCAAGATAGGTGGCTCTGGGTGAATCGGGATTTAGTCGGTTACAGTTATCCCTGTAGAACCAACTTTTTTGATCGGATTCCTACTCTTTGGGGGGCTAGTAAGCAGGTTGCCAACGCTTTGAAGAGAATCTCTTTCAATGGGGATGACTGGAAGGACCGTATGTTGGCCACTTTGGGTATGATTGCAGCTTGGAGGTCTCGAGGAATGATGCCTCAATTTTACGTTGTGAAGGATGGTAAGAATTTCTCCCTTCCTCCCTTTTGTTTTGCTTTCCTTCCGTTGCCTTTGTGATTTCGTAGTGTGGAACCCCCCCCCCCCCTTTTGTGCTTGATCTTCTTGTTTTTTTGTTACGTCGTGAGAGGATCATTCCATTCGAGATGGTCTTGAGGGGTTGTTTTCAGGGTTCATGTATTCATCGAGATGTGTCGTTGCTGGAGGCGCTTCCGCCGCCGGTTAGCATTGACCGTGCATTGGCTCTCTCCGGGTCGACTACTACTTCAGTCCTAATGTTTGATCCTCTAGCTGACCTGATGATGGTCAATGCTCCTGTCGACAGTGTTTCTCATGAAGACCCCTTGCCTTTTCACACGGAGGAGGAGGCATCAATCGGGCTGGTGAGACATGATAATCGTGTGGACTCCAAACGACGGCTTTCCTGGTTGGATTCACTGGAGGCGGAATCTACCAGGACTAGCTCCTCGGGCCGATGCCTCCTCAAGAGGAGGATTGTGGACTTCCTTTTGGGGGAGTCCACCGTGGTAGTGAACATCCCCGATGATGACACTTCGAAACAGTCGGAGGGGGTGAAAGAAGGGGCGATGAAACTGACCCGTGAACCGAAGGAAGAGCCAGATTAACCTATTGCTTTTGGTGAAAGCATTTTCGGTGTTGACTCGGGCGTTGCTCACGAAGATGCTCCATTCCCGCCAGTCCTGCGTCTGACTGGGGAGGGTGCTACTAGGGATTCTACTTTTGTTCCTCCAACGGCGTCGGCCGTATATGTGCCGGAATGGGGGATCACCTGGTAGTCTCGTCTTACGCAGCATGTAGTGGCGTATGATTGGGGTTGTCATGATTTTCCCCTGCCACTAACGAGGCTTTAGAGCTTCTCTCTAACTCACATCTTTCAAACAGTCTTTTATATGCAGCTGCTCAGATTGGCTCATACACGGTGGCGACTGCTCGCCGCCTTCATCAGGACAACTTGAGTTCTGGTGAGCTTGCTTTGATTAGGGCTAAGCAGGATGAATTGAGGGAAAGGTTACTGGAGTTAGAGGGAGAGAAGCGTGCGTTTGATGGCCGTTATGATCTTTTGGTCGGGGAGAAGGCCTCTTTTGAGGAACAGGTTGCAAAGATGGATGGATCCGTGGAGCGTTTGTCTCATCATGTGGAGACATTGGTTGAGGGAAAAGGGGTATTGGAGTGCTGCATTGAGGAGTGTCATGTGTAGTTGGATATGGAGAAGGTGAAAAGGGAGAATGTGGAGACGGATTTGTCTTGGCTTATGAAGAGAGGGATTGTTCGGATTATGGATAAATTGATTGAGAGCTCTAAGTACATACTTGGGATTAAGCAAATGAAGGTTGCATGTATGGCAGTTGGGGTAGAGGGTGGTAAGTAGGTAATCGGGGAGCAGGTTGTTGCCGGGAATTTTGCACCTGGCGAGCCAAGTGCCCTTCTAGAATATACCAAAGCCATGCATGCTGAGTTGAAGTCTTTCTTGGAGACCGATTTCGCCTCCTACCTTCACCTTGGCGATCTTGACATGGAAAGTCTTCTCCTGTTGTGCAGTGACCCTGATGTTGAAAGAGAATGCCCTAAAGGAAGTACTTTCGGGGTCGGATCTTCCGCCCCTACCCCAGGTATGTGATCTTTGCTATCTCCCTTATTATATGTGAATTGCCTTTGATCGGTGATACCCAAACAATGTTTTCTTTTGGATGGTTTTTATTTGGTGAACAGCTTTGACAATGCTCGTTATTCATTTTTTTAATGGCCCTGTGTGGTCTTTTTTCTAAGCCCAAGGTTTCTCCGGTAGACACTTCGTTTTATTTTCCGAAAAAATATAGCTTTGTACTTTGTTTGTGATTTGCTTGTGGTTTATTCAGTTTCATTCCTTCGGGGGGGGGGGGGTTATGTTGGCCACCCCGGGACTGAGTTCTCTCCTGGATCCTGGTCAGACCCAGGAATGCTATTATGCGTTGTTGTTGCTGTTTAAAATTGTGTTATGTAAGAGATTGGCACACAGTTCTCTGTGTTAAGCTAGGGTTAGCCGTTTTGGTTAGTGCCCCTCACTTCTCTTCCCTTCTTTTTTCTTTTAGACTTTCATTCGGAGCTTTGGGCTTCTAAAGCCCCTGTCTCCACATTTGATTATCTAGGTTGTGCCAGGATTGTCATCTCGGGGCTTTGACTCTTAGATATTGTTTTTGTTGTGAGGCGAAGGTTATGACCCTTCATAGCATCTATTTATTCCACATCCTAATTCTCATCGTCTTTAGCCAGAGCATGATTTTATTAAGGAAAGGTTGTAATCCTTTGAGGCTTATGGTTGTGTTTTTTGTGATGATTTCATGTAAATGGCGCGGATGATCAGTTTGTCTTTGTTTTCCGTTTGTACGAATGTATGTTAATATGCGTGTGTTTCAAATCGGTACTTTTCATAACATATTTTCTAGTGTCTTAGAGACATCTACATCATTATATAAGTATTAGGGTTGGGATAGTTGGTGCTATTCTAGGCCTAGCTCCTTGTATGGCTCGTTGGGGTGTGATTATTCGTTAGGAGTTTGATCACTTGACCCTTTCCCTGGCTTCCCCCTCCCCTGTTTTAAGCATGTTGGTTCGGGCTCTCGTGCTCCCATACTATCAAAGTAAGTTCTTTTTCTTAGTCTTTATTGGGTTGTGTCCCTCGGCGGCTTGTGTCTGTGAGCTCTTCAATGTTCACGCTCGTGCGCAGGCCATGATATGTTGATTTTGGTTTGACCGTCTTTTGGAGGATGATCTTCAATTTTCTCCATTCCCCGGTTCTTGTTACCTGGCCATCCTCCGGGGATGAGTTCGTCTTGTTCGGAGTGCGTGTCTGCGTTATTACGACCCTTTGGCTCCTTTGTGGTTTGATGCTCCCTCTGTTATTTGCAGGGTTCCTGACTATATATCGTCTTGACAGAAGCCTTTTCCAGTTGTGGACCAATACGGTTGTGATGGGTCTCCTGTCGTCATCTTCCTTTCTGAGGTAGTTATCTATACTCGTTGTACTGACTTTAGCGGTTTCCCTGTTGCGTTTCTGGTCGAGCTGCAAGAGTTCGCGCTTATGCCACGTTGTTTCCTCTTTTTTCGTGCTCTGGTATTTCGTCATGCGGCGGCACGTTGGCAGGCCTAGCGGTATCCAGCCTCGCCTGGTGTTCATGCTGACTATCCTTGATGTTTCTGGCGTGGTAATGTTGTTGCTATCACACCCATCTCCCCCCGAGCTGTTTATGTGGGGGTGGCGGTTTTTCCTCCTGTATTGGATCTGGGTGATAATTATTGTTGTGCGCCGCTTTTTTGGAATGTGCACGGTGGACCAGGTGGCGATCACCCGTTGTTGCTTTGCCCCTAGGTTGAGAGCGGTCACTGTTACCGAGCCGTTGGTGGTCCTGACTTTTATTGTACCCTGTATTGTTGATGGGATGGCTTGGAGCCGGAAAAGGGTTGGCCGCCCAAGAATCATATCGTCGTTGGACATGTGTTTTACTACTGAGAATTCGATTACCCTTGTTACATTTTCCTTCCCATCGTGGTTGAGTATTTTCAATGGTAGGCTTATGGTCCCGAGCGGCCACATCTTGTGTCCTGTGAACCCGATGAGTGGGGCTCAGGTCGGTGGTTTTAGGTTCTTTTTCTAGGGTGATGGGAGTGTTCAAAACGGTGCTCGTAGAGGACGTCAATGCGGTTTCCACTGTCGACCAAGACTCACCATATCTGATGTTGTTGGATGTAGGCGGAGATCATGATCGAGTCTGTAGGATCCCAATCGAGCATTCGCGGGTCTCCTGGTGAGAAACTTATGTTCATAGTATCGCCAGGTAGGGCGTCGATGCTATTGTTTTCCCATCGGTGCCTGGCTCTGTTCTGGGGCTTCGCGATTGTAAACATCAGCAAACTCGCTAACCACTGGAACCTCTGAAACCGGAGTCAGATCCCTAGCCCGCGTATCCATCACATAAGCTAGATAACTCGCACACCCGTGCTGAATGTACTGCCGACCCCTGGCAGCTGAACAGAACCCTGAACTCACCCTGGTGCCCTCGCCATATACAATCAGTTCTCCCCCACTTGGGGTTCGAACTACCACTCGTTGACCCTCGCAATCTATCATGGCACTAAAACGGATAAGCCAGTCAATCCCTACGATCACGCACACCTCCCCCATGGGAATCGGTATCAGATCAATCGGAAAGGACACTCTGAAAATCTCCAGCTCGCACCCTCGATAGACCGAAGAAGCAGAAACTCCGTGTTCGTTGGCGATAGAGACTCGCAACGGACACTCTAGCTCGCCCACGGGCACACCAAACTCCCTACTGAAAGTCTGAGATACAAAAGACCGACTCGTCCCCGAGTCAAATAAAACCAATGCAGGTAAGGAGTTCACTAAAAACGTACCTAATCACAGGTACAACAGATAAGCATACAACAGATATAACAAATGGGAGTAATGATATAAACATACCAGCAACCACATCTGGTGCTGCCCTGGCCTCCTCGGCTGTAAGATGGAAGGCACGACCCTGAGCCTTCGGAGGCTCTGCCCTGACTGGTCTCCCATCCGTGATACTCAAAGTGGTCGGCGCTGGGGCCTGTGCCGGCTTAGCGGCTAGTAGAGGACACTGGTCCTTCATATGGCCCACCTGCTCACAATGATAGCAAACCCTGACTCCGGAAGTCGAAGTCGGCTTCCTGCAATCCCTGGCTAGATGGCCCTGTTTGCCACATCGGTGGCACCCACTCCCTGCTCGACACGTCCCTGAATGAGCCTTTCCGCACTTCCCACACGTGCGGTCTGGCTGTCCCCCAATCCTGGTATCAGCGGTCTTGGACTGCTTCGGCGCCGGCTGAGACTGTGTCGGGGCCTGCCGCTGCTCTCTCAACTACAGCTCAATCTCCAACTCACGCCGTCTGGCGGCCTCCTGCAACTCTAGAAGAGTATCACATCGCTGGGTAGACACAAACAGACGGATATCCGTCTTGAGCATGCTCAGATAACGGGTCATCTGAGCTTGCTCTGAAGCAAACTTCGGGCAAAACATCGCCCTCTCAGTGAACATCCGGGTGATCTCCGTCACCGACTCCCCATCCTGTCTCAAACTCAGAAACTTATGTGTCAAACGTTCTCGCTCAACCCGCGGAATGTAATGGGCACGGAACATGTCCCTGAACTGCTCCCAAGTAACAGCAGCTCTCTGATCATCAGTGTACGACCCAGTCACAAGTCTCCAACAGTCCTTGGCCCCGGACCTAAGCAGGTTCAGAGCACACCTGACCTTCTGGTCAGTAGGACACGAGCAGGTGAAGAAACACCCCTCCACGTCCGATAGCCACCTCATGGCTACAATAGGATCCTGAGTACCATCAAAAGTCAGGGGATTCGTGTTATCGAAGTCCCAGTACTGAAAAACTCGGCCCGCTCCCCCTCCTGCCGCTGTTACAGCCGCGGTAGCTGCAGCGGCAGCTGTCTCAGTAAGGGCTGCATATCTGTCATCAAAATACTCCATCATGGCGGACTTGATAGTCCCAAACAACTCCGGAATCTGACCCCGGACAATCTCGACCACCTCCTCACGGATGATCTCCCTGACTCGATCCTCTGTCAATAATGGCCTCTCTTGGCCGATAATCTCAGGTGCTACTGGGGCCTCCTGATCACCCTGTCCTGATCCCGAACCGGATCCAGCCACAAAGCGTCTCGTCATCACCATTCTGAAACATACCATAAGATGTCAGATAATCCACATAAATAACTGGGAGCCAACTCCTGACTAACCCTGGGGGTTGTGACTTCCTTGCTATGCGTATGGGTCATGTGCTTTCAGTAGTATGGGCCCCTACTACCTTCCACACATACCCATATTTGTCTCAAGTATCACCACAACGCCCTAACTAAATACACAACATGGCGAGCACTCAATCCTCACTCCTAGAGGAATGCTAAATATCTCATGACTAGCCTCCCGGCCTCTCACAACCCACCCATCCATGAAACTTCCACCAACCCTGCAGCACTAGTGTATGCTAGCCATACATAACATTGGACCCTATAGACTTTCGAATATCCAATCCTACCCTAAGCTCCCAATCAAACAAGAACAGAACATAAGGCCAAATCAAACATTTTCAGGCTATAAGATCTTAATTATGTATAACCGTGATGCCTACACTAAGCAACTACAGTAATGATGTCAATCTCATATAAAGGAAACCCTAGGCTAGCATGCATCATGTAATCAGGCAATTCTATCATGCAATTCCTGAAGATCCCTAGCCTAGTACTAGCATGTTGTTCTAACACATCACATAATCAAATAACTGTATGGTATTTTGGGGTCTACTTACTGGCTCCGGCTGATCGTACACCCTGCATCCTCCCTTACTTATTTTGAAAACCATTTAAAAATTATTTTGAAAATCTTTCCTTGATTTGAGACTGGATTCACACGAATGTTCCTCCAATTCACTCAAACCAAGGCTCTGATACCAACTTGTAACACCCAAAAATTCAAGCCAATTTAAAACTTTTAAAACATTTCCAAAACCATTAACCATTACAAAATTTGTTTTCAAAATGTATAATATCAGAGTATCCCAGAAACAAAGTCATAAAAAGTGAGGAGCTGTACGATCACGCCTTTGCCTTGCTACGATCCCCTGATGTACCTGAAACAATAAACTGAAACTGTAAGCCCGAAAGCTTAGTGAGTTCCCCCAAAATACCCATACCCACAACAATACACATATCAACATAAACAGCATACTATGGGTCCAGTCAACCATCGGGTTGGAATACCCCATGCCCTCAACCATCCGGTTGGAATGCCAACATACTATGGGTCCAATCATCCTCGGGATGGAATACCCCAAGCCCACAACCAACAGGTTGGAATGCCCACATACTATGAGTCCAATCATCCTCGGGATGGAATACTCACGGCCCACAACCAACAGGTTGGAATGCCCAGGTCT